ACTTGCAGTATTTATGTCACCACAGTAATTTTCATTGTATTAAGAAGAAAAGGTTTAAATGTTGTATTCTATCTTGTTAAAAAAATTCGGATAGACGTTTTGTTGCTATGGATGGCATCGCATTTCGTTTGTAAGTAATTTTATACTTAATTTATTAAAATAGTTCTGGAAAAAACTCTTAAATTTTGTGTGGGTCAACTAGGTTAATTTCTAACATACCAGTATTAACCCTTCTAGTTGGAACTCCTTCTATAAAATATTGAGCATATTTGTTGAGAAGTCTCACTAAAGCTTCCCTATCTTCTAGATCAGTGTCAATTGAATCGGAAGTTATTTTGTTCGGTTGCAATTCACGAGAATTTGACTGTTTCTTAGAAAAGAATTTAAGCTGATCTTGATCAGTTTGGACGATAATGTAATTTTCTAAGATATCCCTACCTATGATGACAGGTTCTGATAGGCAAGAATCCGGTACTACATGAAAGAGTAAGGTCTGAGTTATTTCACCTAGTTGTACTTCATTTAAAATTTGAGTATCACACCTTACATCATCACCCCCAATTCCAGTTAGGTAACTACAGTTTCTTACTTAACATTACGGTACGTAGTGTTTTAAATATCGTACTTATCTACTCATTACAAACATATCCTACACTAAAAATGGTAAAATAAACCCTTTTAAAAAAAAAGTTAAACCGACTTCAAACGACACCGACAAAGAGCACTAAAAATTAAAAAATAATTACAAATCTAAGTAAAAAACTATAATAAGTACCCTCACTGTAACAGGTAACATTATAATACCAATAGTCACTTCTAGTATGTTTGAAGTAGGTGCCAAGCTCGATGCACAATAAGTAATACTGGTCTATGTCAGCTTTATATTAGCACAATGAAAAATTAAGAATTCAAAATAATTCTAATGAAACATCGAAGATTTTGTTAATTAATAAAGACCAACCAGATCAATCACGTGCGCAAACTTATCAACTACTTATTAAAGCATTCAAAATAATAATATAATTGGAGATGTCCGTCCACTTTACCTCGTTCAACATGTTTTGCGCAGCATGAAGACTGTTGCAGCTGCCGCGCTACATTCTACCATGCCTATCAAGCACCTATTTGGCTTGGCACCGACTTCAAACAGACTAGAAGGGACTATTGGTATTATAATGTTACCTGTTACAGTGAGGGTACTTATTATAGTTTTTTACTTAGATTTGTAATTATTTTTTAATTTTTAGTGCTCTTTGTCGGTGTCGTTTGAAGTCGGTTTAACTTTTTTTTTAAAAGGGTTTTCAATATTCATATCCTATTAATCCTCACATACATCACTTACGTTACGTCTTGCAGTTCCTCGTGGGACATAAAATTATCATTGGCGCTGATGTCAATGCGTCATCTTCATTATGGTATGGCAAGTTGCGTTCAACCGACACGGTTCGACGTTGTGCGGTTGAAGATTTCATTGCGGAAATGAATCTTACTATTCACAATACCCCCGATGCACCACCAACTTTTTGCAACCCAATGGGTGAGTTTTCTATTGACGTGACGCTTACGCGCGGCGACGTCTCGATATCCGGATGGCGTGTCTTCCTGGACGCATCCTGTAGTGATCACCGCTTGATCGCGTACGAATTCATACCAAGGGTTGCACGGGATCCACAAAGGGCTCCTTATAATTATAGATATAAAACTAAAGGTGTGAACTGGGCATTGTTTGGTTCACTCTTTGTAACTCATACCAAAGACTTCAGTCGCAGTAGTTTATCAGCTGAGGAAAACGCAGAAATACTATCAGAAACTTTCACATACTGCGCTGATGTATCTATTGGTCGCCGATCTATCACTAACACTCGTAGATGTGATTGGTGTAATGATAGATTAGCCGACTTACGTAGAAGCTACCGAAAAGCTCGTAGAAAATTAAACACTTTCAAAAAACATAACGTAACAGGAGATTTGTACAATAATGCTCTCATTGCTCTTAGAGTTGCCAGGTCCCACTATAGAGCTGCAGTGAAAAAATCGAAGTGAAACTTAATTCAGAAACTTGTTGATAAACTCGATAGAGAGGGCCCGTGGTCACCTTTGTATCACGAATATAAGGCAAATAGATCAATCGACCTTGCATACATACAGAACATCAAAATTAATAACAGATCTACCACAGGAGTAGAAGAAACAGCAGAATATCTTTTAGAATCACTCGTACCTGACGATCGGCCGGAAAACTACACTGATCATCATCGACAGATCAGGCAGTGGGCCATCGAACCACCACTGTCTCCAATGTCTGATTTACCATCTTCAGACGAATTTCTCGGTATCGTTAGATCCTTGCCACTAAACAAGGCTTCGGGCGATGATAAAATATCTAACAAAATGATCAAAGAAGCTTGTGAACTCTCGGGTGACACGGTTCACTGTCTTTAAACGTTGCATTGCTGAAGGAATATTTCCTCGTATATGGCGGTGCGGTAATATTCGTATAATACCAAAAAGTGGCGACAAGCCACCGGATGATCCTAAATCCTACCGACCAATCACATTGTTACTATCGTTAGGAAAGCTTTTAGAACGTCTTGTAGTGCCCCGGCTTTTGCCAGGTGGAGTCAAATTTCATGAAAGACAATTTGGATTTACGTTGGGTAAATCGACAACTGACGCTGTTATATCGGTTAGAAAGTTTATCACAGAGTCAAAATTTCAATACGTGCTGGCTATTTTCTTAGATATATCTGGCGCCTTCGAGAACGCATGGTGGCCCATGCTGTTGCTAAAATTAAAATCAGGGGGGTGCTTTAAAAATATTTATTCCCTTATATCTTCGTACTTTTCACAAGGTACTACTGAACTAAGACTTGGTCATCATTCTGTGTCGAAGGCGCTTACAATGGGATGTCCTCAGGGATCGGTGCTAGGTCCATACTTGTGGAATATCGGCTTTGACGATTTTCTTGCGATACCAATACCATCCGGATGTACTCTGAACGCGTATGCTGATGACGGCTTATTACTGGTGGAATCTGATACTAGGGCGGGGCTTGAGAGATTAGCCAATAGATGTTTGAACTTGATATCTCAATGGGGTGAACGTAATCGCTTAACTTTTGCACCCAACAAAACCTTCCAGCTACTTTTAAAAGGTAACCTCAAATCACCGCCAAGCATTAGATTTGACAATGTTACTGTAAAAAATAAAACCTCAGTGTGTTACCTAGGATTAGTTTTAGAAAGAAACTTTTCATTTATCGAACATATTAAAATAGTTAATGAAAAGTCTAAAAAGAGTTTCTCTGCATTGACAAGGATATCAACTGCGACATGGGGTCTATCATTCAATACATTAAAGATCATATACGGAGCTATTTATTTAGGTTCTATGTGCTATGGTGCACCTGTATGGGCCAATAGGGCAACCGTAGGCGCTGTCCGTCGCAAACTGTTACAAGGCCAACGACTTGCACTGATATTCTTGTGCAAGGCATATAGGACGATTAGCACTGAGGCTTTGCCGGTGTTGGCGGGTGTGCTTCCAGTCGATCTCGAGGTGCGATTTTTTGGGCGCGCGGGATCGCGGTAAAATTACAAAATTGCTTCAACAGCAGTCCGATGTCTATAATGACCTCATAGACGAAATTCAACAACGCTGGGATGAATCATCCAAGGGGCGCCATCTTCACCAATTCTTTCCATCTGTTCGCGAACGGTTGTCGAAGACATGGCTTGAGGTGGATCACTGTGTCGCTCAATTTCTTACGGGTCATAGTAACTTTAAGAGCAAGCTTTATTCATTTAAATTAGTCGAGTCACCATTGTGTCAATGCTCAACACCTAACTCTCACTATGAACAGTCTGCTCATCATATCCTCTGGGAATGTTGTCTTTGGTATAATGAACGTAATATATTGCTGAATAGCTTGCAGGTGATATCTGGGGCGGTATACTATGGGGATCTTGTGTGTTTAGGCGATTCTGCCATACATATTATAGAAATCAAATATAGCTCACGTAGGACCCGTAATATTTTGTGGCCGTGGTACTTCCCTGTTTAAAAGGGTGTATGCCCATTTTACCTTATTTTTTCTCCCGCTTTGCTAAGGAGGGAAGTGGATTTACTGTATTTCCAACTCCTCCAATTTTCTTCTGATTAATTTCGTTGCGGGTTCCAAGACAGTTTAATTTCTTCCTGGGACTTCCCAAGTGTCATAACTCGGTGTGTTCGTGGGTCACTGCTGTGGATCCTGGTGTACAGGAGTTACAGTGGTGGGTGTGATTAGTCCCAATCACCACAATTCTTTTTTCTGTCACTTTTTCATACCTACCACAGAAAGATACTAATTGACCACATTGGTCAGAATGTAATTGTAATTAATTATTTTCTTGTCCTTAATTACAATATTTGTAAATATATTGTCCAAACATGTGGCAGTGGTGGCAGTGATATTCGTAAGTGTAGGCTCCAAGAACAAGTTCTTCAGATTGTATGATTGAAAAGGTGCCTTGAACTTAGTTACTATAATTGAATTTTCCAATAGGTTAATATTGAAGTCACCACAGATGATGACCTTCTTTTTTGATCTTGTTACTTTAACACGTTTACTGCGGCAAGTAAAATCATAATACTTCATCTAGTGCGGCGGCGGGCCAAAATGCGCCCCCAATGATGTTTCCGCCAGTGCGTGAGTGGTCGATCTAGACCCACCAGCACTAGGATAGATTAAATTGCTATAACTTTGTGGAAACATAATGTATACATTTTTTTTTTATATTGTTAGAATGAGCTTGAACCCAACGTCCATAGGTTTGATTCGCCCCGGATTGCCAAACAAGAAATGAGAAATAAAGCAGGAAAAGCGGCAGGCCGATATCGACCTGAACCGCACTAGAAAGTATTTTTAGTAGTGACGGGACAGAGAAATATAAGGGGATATCGAAAATAAAACAGAATTATCGTAAAAGAACTGTAAAATGTTTTTATTTACTTATGCCTATCTTGGAAACATGTTACGCAAAGGTTTTGGTTGCATTTCCTGCAATATTTCTTTATTTTCTTTACTTTTTTTTTTTGCTTCGGTACTATTAAAGGTTTTCCGCAGTCTGTCGTAGCACCCTGCACAATTTATTCGTTTAGCGCTTATTTCAAGAACATGGTCATTGTCCTTAGGTTTTACTTGATTTTCTGAAATGAATTTTTTTGCTTAATTCCGTGTGATTTATTAAACATTGAGTTTTACCACAGAACTCGCGAAATTGAACAACTTTCCCCAGAGAACATAGGTCGAAATATGAAAAAAAAAATTGGCCTTCCCTTACAAAATTGACAACCAGCTGATTGATTTACTACTATGGGAGGTCTAACATTTTTTTTCATACTTCGACCTATATTCTTTGGGGAAAGTTGTTCAGTTTCATGAGCACATTCACCTCCTTCAGGGTTGATACCCCCCTTCCGTTACACGGTGTATAAGGTCATTTTAAATTAAGTGAAAATATTTTTTGCGAATCTCAGAACAAAAATTGTTCTGTAACATGGGCTGAGTTACCCCACGAGAGGTTTTGCGCATTTGGAATTACATGTTGTATAGGTGTAGGGTAATCACCGTTGTCCTTCAAGGAGATAACTCAGTATCGCTTATACAACAACTTTCCTTATGGGACCCATGTTGAAATCTTAAAAAAATATTCTCACTTTTCATACAAAAAAATCAGATAGTTTATTCCTCAAATACAATTTTTAATCAGTTGATCGGATCGGTTAGTATGGGAAGCCAAAAATTTTTTTTCGAGTTTACGACATGAGTCCCATAGGGAAATTTGTTGTATAAACGATACTGAGTTACCTCCTTGAAGGACAGCGGTGATAACCCTAACAGCCTGTATATATAGGTATAAAATTATGTATATGGTGTATAATATAGTGGTAACAGGACCTAATGTCTATTTTGTGCAATCAAGTAGACCACTTAAAGCGTTATTTTTATGATAAATGCAGCTGAGTGCCCCGAAATAAGAACTCGCATTATGTGTTATTGAGTAAGTAAACAGTGCCATAACATACCATAATAGAACAGTAGTGCAAACAACGCCAAACATTGCTCGCAGAAAATAGCAGAGTCAGCACAAAGCTCATGCACGAAGACCATGCGCAGCCACCGTAACACTGGTAATATGTTCAAAATAATGACAATAGTTACCTGTTGCAGATGTAGAACGTCTGACGATGTTGAAACACGGAAATGTAGGAATCGCCTTCAACAATAATCTACATATGCCTACAGTGATGTTACACGTCATTATACTTACTATCAGCGCATATACTTTTTCCAGTTAATGATTGCATTAATGCCTCTGTAAATTCTTTTTTTGAAACCTTCTTATCACATTTCACGTTGTATGTGATCCACGCGTTTACTAACGCCATGCCTAACAAATATTCCATACCCACTTTTCTGAACCATTTGAGCCCTCTTTTTAATGTAGAATAGTATGAAGACATTTGGTCGCTGAAGTCAACTCCTTTTTTGTTGTTATTATACGTTAAGACACATGTAGGCTTTTTTATATCTTCATTCGTCTTCCTAATTTTTTTGCCAGTGTTGACAAGCACATCTTTGTCCTCTTTGAGAGTAGATATCATTAGAAGTTGCCTTTTGTCAACCCATTTAATAACTTTAACGCCATTTTTATTCATAGCTCCTTTGATTTCACCCTTCTTCAACTTTAGTAACACTATCTCCTTAGGTAGCCCCCTTCGCTTCGAATTTAGGGTACCGCAATAACGGGTTTTTTGAGATAAGAGTTCTTCCGCCAATTCAATTGAAGAGTAGAAATTGTCTGCAATTACTACACGACATTTGTTCTCCAGCCCTTGAATGAGTTTCAGTACGGTGACTTTACCATGATTTTGTTCACGGCCATTTTCTCCCTTTCCAGAATAAATTATTGAATTATATATATACCCTTCTGGAGTGCATAACTTGTAAATTTTAACACCATACTTGTGTGATTTGTTTTTAATGTATTGTTTGAATTTCAGCCTGCCACGCCATGGTATCATTGATTCATCTATAACAATGAATTTACCTGGCGTTAATACTTCTTGGAATCTGCTGTTGAGCATATTAGCCAAATCATGAATTTTCTTCAACTTATTTGTATTGTGGATGGCTGACGAATCATCACAAAAATGCCAGAATTTCAGTAATACGCAGAAATCTATCCCGAGTCATTACAGATACAATATATTCGTTTCGATATATTGATTTTTTTGACCAATAGTCATTTATATGAGGCACTTTGTTCAGACCCATTGCGAGTAGTACCCCTAGAAACTTCCGCATTTCTATATTATTCGTAGCTTTCCATGATAATAACCGAGATTTTGTTTTTATTTCGTTATTATTTTGCTTTTCTGCGATGTGTTTTAACGCATATTTATTAGTTTCTGTAACCATTTTATCTATTATTTCATCAGTTACAAATAAGGAAAAAATACCTGCAGGAGATATATCTTCTATAGGAATATTAAAAGTGCTTTCATTTAAAGTACACGCATCCAACTCAGGTGTCAAATCTGTGACAGCATCCCATTCATTGACACTATTATCCTGTGCATCTTCCTCTTCCTCTGAAACATCATTATCTATATCCGATACAACTTCACTTGCAGAATATTCATCACTCTCATCATCGCCTGTGTCACCACTTTCCTGCTCTTCATCTTCCTCCTCAGTATTTTCCGTTTCTTCCTCTCTCTCTGCATCTTCATCTTCCTCTTCAGCATTTCCTGTTTCTTCCTCTCTCTCTTCTACATCTTCTACATCAACATTTTCTGTTTCTTTCTCTCTCTCTCTGCTTCGTCATTAAGTGTTTCTTTCTGTCTTTCATTTTCTTCAAACTGTTTATTACGTTCTTCGTCATAAAAACCACAATTTTCATTACTTTCAGTTAACCCTTGCGACATACTGTCTTCAAAAGAATAAGTGAATGTAAGTTTTGTCTTTGGATCTTTCCTTTCTATTTCATTTTTCTTTTTTATCTTTTTATTATCGTTTCTTAGATTTATCAAGTCATGATATTCGCTTTCATCTATTTCGATGCCGTGCATAAGCTTAGAAGCTGATATATTGTTTAGCGAAGGACTGCATCCTCTTGAGCTATACATACTAAATCGTTCCAATGACGATGAGCTAGGCGAAGACAATCCTTTTGATGTCTGTGGTGTAGGTTTATTTTTACATTCTGTAATGCAAAAAAAGGTAAGTGGAATAAAATTAATCTACACTAATATTATAAATGTGAAAGTTTAGATGTATGGATGTTTGCTACTCTTTCACGCAAAAACTACTGAACGGATTTAGATGAAACTTTACAGTAATATAAGTAAAAAATTAAATAAAATATGAAATTTTGAGAGATAGAGAGAGAGAGAGATATCTGTCAATAGATGCTCAGCAGAAACTATAACACTAAAAGCAAAGAAATTATTTAAATTAAGACATACCTGTTTTAGTTTCATGTGAAAACGAGACTGATTTAAGAATATGAAATTTTCTTCCACTGGGGCTACTGAAAACGTCCGCTGTTGACAAAAAAAGTTTACTGTGACTCTTATTGTGTCTTATTTAGCGAGAAAAAGGAGTGTTGGGGTAAAAGCGGACGGATTATGGTTCAATTGAAAAGATGTTCAAAAAAACTAAATTTTCTCGACATCAACTGTTGAAAATAAATCATTAAAATGCAATGAAAGTGTTAAGAATAATCTTTTTCATAAAGGATGGTATTACATAAAAAATCCCCACGTCATTATGCGTCTAAGGCTGATATGTTGATATGTGTAGGTAGTAAATAAAACTTACCGCTTGTGCTTTGTTTTCCGTGCACATTTGTTTCCAAATCCTTTTTAGTTTTCTTAGTGGAAAATATTTCTTCACTGCTGTCACTATCACTGTCAATAACTGCAGGGCGAATTACTCTATTTTCCAAAATTTGTATTTTTCTTTTATTGCTTGCCATTGTTGATAATATCGGACGCTACGACAGATCTGTTAGATAGCACAACACTAACTGGCGGGGCGCGCGCTCTGTGCGGTATCGGGTCGCCAGCTGCCTGGTGGGAGGGCGGGCCGAAATAGGCCCACTGCCGCACTCGCGGCTGTTTGTGTTTTTTCGGCATGTTTTTTCACCGTCAGTGCGTGGTAGATCAATAAAAGCCTGCCGTTATGTTTTGATGGGGAACAACTATGGCATTTACCGCAAGATGAAATATATATTTGTCTCTGTCGAATTTTTACAAACACCTGAGATAATCGTTTCGCACAAGCGAGAGGGACATAGTTTTCTTCGTCCGCACCAGTTCAAGTAGCAGCAGGCCGCGGCAGGCCGATATCGGCCTGTTACGCAGTAAACGTGTTAACTAATACTTCATCCATAACACGTTCAAAACAATCATACATAGCTGAAGGAGGTCTTTATACACATACTACTATGTCATGGCGTTCTTTAAACTTAAGTTTCTTATTAATGAGTATCATAGTGCCACCATGTATTGCTGTACTTCTGCTGTAGTTCTACCTCCAAGTTTTTGCCCATCATTCCTTATTATTTTTAATAAATTTGCTACGATTGAACTTTCTATTAGTGTTCAAGTTAATAGTGCAAGAGGTAGTCTCTCTTAGAGGTAAGAGGTAGTCTTATCAGTAAATGCGCCTGAGTCGCCTGCGGTACCTGGCCCGTTCCCGGGCCTGGCGGGCCGGGAGAGTTCTAAACCTCTCCCGGTCTCGCTCCGCCGTCTCCTTCGCGAGCATAACTTGCTCGCAGAAGGAGACGGCAGAGTTCCACGCACTCTCGCTCCGCACGATAGCCGCAATCAGGCTATCGAGCGAGAGAACTCCCACTCCGATGGCCGCCACGAGGTCTCGCCTCTGCTCAACCCACGCCGGGCACTCTGCCAGCGTGTGGAGAGCCGTGTCCACGGTCTGGCCATCCCAGTGGTGGCACTCAGGCGTTGGCTCCTTGCGGATCAGACACAGGTGATCCCCGAAACATCCTTTCCCAGAGATCACCTGCGTCAGTCGGTATGAGAGGGCACCGTGACGCCTCTCGAGCCAATCCTCCATAACCGGTCTTACCGCCGCGATGACGGCGTGCCCGGCGCTCGGTTGCCCGAGTCGTTCACTCCACTCCCCTATGATGACCTGGCGGAGTTGGGATTTCCGGTCATCGATTTCTCGAATCTCGGGACACCGACCCAACTCCCGCGCCTCCTTGCGCCACTGATACAGAGCCGCAAGGGCTCTCGCCTCCAGGTCCCACGGTGGAGTTCCGGCCAGGAGACTCGCCGCCTCAAAAGAGATCGTGCGGTACCCCCTTATGATCCTGATGGCCAGCACTCGCTGCGGTCGTCGCAGTATCGCGACGTTGCTGGCCTTCAGGGCCCCTCCCATACTGGGCACCAATAAAGGGCCATGGACCGCACAACCCCCGAGTAGAGTCTCCTGCAGGAGTCATCGGGTCCCTTCATGTTGGACAGCAGCCGCGTCAACGCACGCGCTGCCCCAACCAAGTATGGGACCAGACCTCGGCAATGATATCCGAAGTCCCATCGGCCATCGAGTACGAGCCCCAGATACCTGATCGAGGGCTCGATGCCGATGCGAGTGCCTCCTACCGTGAGACTAGATCCCTCAGGCGGCTTCCTTAGAAGCCCGTGGAAGAACAGGGCCTCGGACTTGTGCAGAGCCACCTCGAGACCCAGCCGCCGGATTCGCTCAACGACTTGGGCAACCCCGACCGTGGACCTCAGGGTTGCCTCGTGGTGCGTCTTGCCGCGCGCCGTCACGAGCGTGTCGTCCGCGTAGCACACGACGGCGACACCATCCAAGAAGGCACCACGAAGCACCCAGTCATAGCCGATGTTCCACAAGAGCGGCCCTAACACCGACCCCTAGTCAGCCTTGAGACACACCCGAGAACAACACGTTTTTCTTAAGCTGCGTACTAAAAAATTCATAACTTTGTTAACTTATCCGAGTGATTCAAGTGTCCATCGACGTGTATTCGCGAGTGCTATACATCGGCAACGTGAAATTCACCCGCACGCGCACGGCTAAAGTAGGAAAAGTGGAGAACTTAAAAAAATTAAATCTGAAAAAAGTTCAGTTTTTCCGTCATAAAAGTGAAATACGGTGATATAGTGTGAAGAAAAAATCATCATCAGGTGTACCTTACTGGTGCCTAACACCTGAGTGCCAGTTTAGCAGCCGCACGGGCCTGGTTCTCCTAGAAAATCCGGAAAACCACCGAACTACTTAGCACGTGGTCGCAGATCCAACCACTTCAGCGAGCTGAAAAATTTACTGAAGGTAGATACTGTCACACACATAATAAAACCGCTTTCAGATACAAATTTTGACAACCCACTGGGCAAAAAAATACATTTTTACCAAAACTTTGACCATCAATAACTTTTGATCAAGATCGACGAGATATAGTTTTTAAATTAAACCCTGTTTTGCGCTAGAGCCCTGAAGAAGACTGATTCAGTAAAAAAAATTCAATGTGAATCTATTTGTAAATATTTAATAAAAAGTGTAAAAAGCACAAAAACCTCAATAAAGGTGGTAAATTAACTAAAGAATTTCCAAATAAAAATTAGATCCTGTAGCTCATAAAAAGACAAAAATTTTGACACCAAATTTATAATTTTCGGTCGACTATTTTCAAAGATATTGAATTTTTTGTGTTTTATTTTCAATTTAATTAACAAAATATTAGCTATTAAATTATTTTTTAAGTTTAATACTGTTCTCTAGGCTATTTGACACCTATTAAGCCCAAACTCGGACCCTCTAGGCACAAAATGGCCAAAGTGGACAAAATCTGGGCAAATTTTGTTTTTCGGGTGAAACTTTGGGATAAAATATCTTCGCAACCGGGTCTCGTGGGAGACTCGGGTTTTCACTTAAGTTAAAGGCAGGTGTTTCTTATTAAGTTTTTGGGATTAAATTCAAAATTGGGACAAAAAAAATTATCTCATTAAATCTAGCATAATTTGATAGAACACAAAATTTTAAGTACAATAAACCCAAACACTCTACGACAGGTACGACGGGTACTCTACGACAAATAGGGCCGGAGATATTGGATCGGAAAGTTTGACTTTGCCATTTCGGTCGCCATCTTGCTTATTTTTAAGTACACATAACTCTGCACTGGTTTATGCTAGAGCAGCGTTTTCTGCATTCCGCTTAGGAGACAAAGTAGTAGGCCTACTAGTGGGAAAAAATCAAATTTGGATAAAAAAATTTGGGGTTGAGTTCTCATCCGGAGCCGATAAAAGAAGTCGCGCTGAGCCAAAAAAACACCAAACACGCCTATTGTGCGGTGTGTGGAACGGGAGATATAGGTAATTAAAATTATACTTTGACAGCTCAGTCGCCATCTTGAAATTTTTTATCGGCCAATAACTCAGCCATTTTTGAAGATAGCGAGGCGAGTTCTCTCTATTGGAAAGTGCAAGACTTTGACCATCTTTTAGCGTGGGCAAAAACCTAAACTGTAGCTCAAAAATTTTACTCATAACTGTGGGCTTAGCGGGCTAGAAAAGAGCCTGACGATTGCGGGGACGTCCCTCTCGCCCTTGTGGGACGAATAGCGGCTGAGTGGTGTCAATCCCAAAATTTTCTTGGAAATAGTGGAATTGATCTAACTCTTAGGCCGTTTGTCGTGGGTGGGTCGTGTTTGGAATCGTTGTAGTCGCCTGCTCAAGACCTACCTACTGAATACCTCAAAGTAGGCTTTGCGCACTCTTCCCCCTCCCGATATCAGTAAAATATACTTTTTAGTCGGAATTGCTCAATTGCTATTGCATCGACCACTAGTTTAGTTATTTTCTCCATATACTTTTTAGTCATAGGAGATAGATACGCAAGGTTCTCTGAAGTTTGATTCAACACGGCCGCGACATGTTAGCAACCACAAAAATTCGCTTACACTAACACATACACACACACATACACCCCTAACACTCCCTCGCACACACACACACACACACACACACACACACACTCACACACACATATATACAAACATACGCTCACACGCAGATACACACTCTAATAAACCTTTATACACCACAATACCATACACATATTTTGGACGAGTGCCTTTCTAGTAGCAAATCGGCTAATAGACAAATTGACAGACTGCGACTCTACCTATACATAGAGTCCCAGCATATCATATTAAATTAACTTGGCTGTTTTATTGCTATATTAATTTTACTAGTGACGCCTATCCCTAGCCAAAATGTTTTCACATAGAACCCCTCCGACCGAGTCTACGAGGATCGCGGGAGAGAGCGGAGGTTCTAAACTGGTGAGCACATTAGTTACATCAAACACCATAACCAAGCCACCCACACAGAAGCCATCAGATCCGGTACCATCCCGTGGCACTAACTCTCCTAGTGAGAAGGGCTCGCAGAGCTCGCCCCCTCCACACCCACAGACTAAAACCAAATTAGAACTTGCCAGAGCCTATGTAATAATAGTGAAGCGAAACATCTCCCTGTCGAGAAATTTGAAGTCTGAAATCAAGGCAGAGGTACTCGAAGCAATCGACTAATTACATCAGGTAGTCAAATCCTTAGATAAGGAACTAAAGAGTGTTAAGGGAAAGGATAACAAGGAATCAGGGAAGGAGGGGCCTTCCCACCCGGTGTATCCAAATCTTTTTGTGGGGGCAACGGGTGTGAGGGCCACTCGATGGGAAACAAGATCTTAGAAAAGCTGGAAGAACACAGTTTACTTTTAAAAGATAATGGCAAAAACCTGGAACTGCTGAGGAGTAGTGTGGAAACGCTGAGGGCATCATACGCGAGCGAAGTGGCTGCACCGACCAAGGGCCCGACCTCTATAAAAACAGCGCTGCACTCAGTCATTGTCACATCAAAGGAGGAGGAGGACACCGGGGATCTGGTTTTGGAAAAAATTAGAAGAGTAGTAAATGCAAAA